ATTGAAAAATCTTCTGGTTTTTCAATGGGTGGCCACTCGAATTTTGCACAATCCTTCTCATCATGACTGAACCAGGATGGCCTAACCTTTCATGCCATACTCTGAAAGTGCTGGTAAACTTTTGATTTACCGCAACATGTGATTCAGCCATGGTTATCTTTGTGCAATATAATCCGGAGGACATCATTGGTAATTCTTCCAACTGATGTTTACTCTCCGTTGTAATGCAAAGATATTCAGAGCCATTCTTATTAATAGTCTCAATATGATATCCATTTCGCGGATATCTCGAAAACTTAATAAGTTCCGTTGAGACTCGGGGGAGTATAATGCATCTTGCACTACAAACTCTGTACCCCTTGGCAATGAAAAACTTGCTCTTCCGGAGCCTAGTATAATCTTTGCAATACCAGTTATAGTACTCACGCTTCCAGCGGAGACTTTCATTTTGAGACAGGAGAAATACTTTTTATCCCTAAGGATTGTATGTGTCGTAGCATTGTCTGCTAGACAAGTATCTCTATCCATAATCTCAAATTCTGATATTTTCTGAATTTAAAATATTCATAAAAGATTCATGTATAAGTATTAAACACATACCTGGCAATACCGCTTATGGTACAATAGAACCTACATCAAAAGCATCTAAAGCAAAAACATATAATACATTAAAACCATTAAGCTTTTGTCTTTCAACGTCCCAACCATCATCCCTTTTTTTTATTGAATTTGTCCATCACACTTACTCTAAGTAGATTACTCAACATTCTCCCCTAGGAATGAAGTCAATTTAGATGGACAAAACTGATGGTTTCTCATCACGAGTTTATTATATTATTAAGCTACCAGGAGGATTTATATCAACTCCGAGCTTTGGGTGAATTCTCTCGCCTGGAGATTCAACCACTTATTTTCCAAGATCTTCAGGATCTTTACTCGTGATGGATCATTTAAACCATCATGGATATGGTGGTGTAAAAAAATCATGATATTTGCCTTATTTCATCGAATATCGTTTCCGACATATCGATAGTGCTCAAGAGATCATTTCTCTCTAGATGCACTTTTGCACCTACCGCCCAAGACATATAATTCTTTCCACACAAGTCAAGGGTGGCGATCTCGAGCTTTGACAAATTATTACTCAATAACAAAAGCTTAATTTGTTAGATTAAAAATTTGAGCATAGTAACAGTATAATAAAAGACAATAATTAAAAGCAATATGAGGAGGCAGAGCCTACCATACAATTGTTGATTGCATAAATAAATAAATGAACAAATATGGGGATTTTAATCTCCCACACAATAAATAAATAAATAAATATGATCTGAGGCGACATAGTCTGCCATGTGATCATTTAGATCGTGAAGGCATAGCCTACCATAACGATCCGCTCGGAGGAGGCAGAGCCTACCATCCCGGCATAATAAACAATATAATTATTTGATCGTGGAGGCAGCACCTACCATAACGATCAGCTCGGAGGAGACAAAGCCTTCCATCCCGGCATCACATATAAACAGAGAAGGAAGAGCCTATCTTTTCGTAAATAATAATATTCAAAATAAATTGAACATAAATGAATCTTACCTCTCTGATATAGATCTAACTCCCGGATATAGATCAAGAGACGTTCGTGCTGATAACGTGTTGTAAACTAATGCTTTATAAAGAAAAACAAAGAAGAGTTTAAGATCTTTTGAACTTCAGAGAGAAAGAGAGAAAGATGAACATAAGAACTTCATTTTTTTCTTCTTCTGAACTTATGATTTTACAAAGAATGAAGTTACCTATTTATAGGAAAAATCTTACTTTATAGTAAAGTAAGCTAATCTATAAAGACGAAACATATAGATAAGCATTATCCAAAATATATGGATAAGTATTATCTAAAACTTATGGATAAACATTATTCTTTAATATGCTAATGTATAAAGACAAAAGCAAATAGATAATCATTATCCATTTAACATATTAATATATTTTTAATTTTTTAGTATATTATCATTATTATATACAGTATGTGCGTATTTTATTGTTGCACCAAAAACAAAACTGTTTATTTTCTTTCAATAGGATTTAAATAAAAAGTATTTGGTTTGACATAAGCAATTTATAAAGACCGTCATCTAATAGTAATATTGTACAATTCAATGAATTCATACTCATTCTCTAAAAAGGTTAGGTTTGACTTAGAACCTTTGGACAATTGTTTGTTTCTTTTCTGGAGATAATAAACAGTTTTATATTTCAGTTGTCAAAAAAAACTTTACCACTGCGTAAAATATAATATATTGCTCTTGTAATTGTTGGTATTCTGTTCCAAAAAGATGGACTCTGTTTTAAACTATATAGCTAAAACTGAATTACAATTTTTATTAGTAAAACTAGGAATAGAACTCTATGTACTAATCTTTTTTTTTTTAAATTAAAATAATTATAAATAAAATGTATAAAATAAAATAATAATAAAAATATGTAAATATTTTAAACAAGTCCTTAAATAGAGAAAAAAAATTATTTATCTGATCAATAAACCTTTCAGATAAAATTTGGGATAAAGACACGATGCAATAATAATAAACTTTATTCAGTTTATTTTAATGAGTTTATTTGCTAAACATGCATAAAAAAATATTGAAAATGATCTGATCTTTTTTATAAGGTTGAAAAGATATTAATAATAAAAAATACAATTTTTCGTATAATAAATGGTTATAAACGAACATATATATAATGAACATTGAAAAGACATGAATTTTAATTGCAATAATAAAAAAATATAATGAAAGAAACAATCACATTTGATATTTATTAAAGTTTAAAATATTATTTTTTTATAAAAATTCGTAATTATAAACAAAAACGTAATACAACTACTAATAACGTTTATAAAACTAAATATAATAAAAATACCTAACTTATCCAAGGATTGTTGATAAGGACATCAGTCCAAACGAAGACATTGGCCAGGTACCCGAGGTTCGTGAGGCCCTCATGACACGTTCAAGGACAAAGCAGCTGAGAAAGAAGTTCAATTTGACCATAGAAAGCATCATACAAACATTCGGACCAGAGGAACTTCTTTCACTTGGAACGGAACATGATGGTACGGAAGGTCGTACTGCAGGACGTAATGACGGTACGGAGGATCGTACCGCGGGACGTAATGACAACATGGCGGGACGTACCACCAAACCTCACACGATGACATCATTGATGGTTTTAACCGTCGTGCCATCCATTCACCTCACCAAGGTAAGGTCATTAACCCTTCCATACGTACTTTACCGACCACTAACCTTGCAGGAACGTTCACGTTGGAAAACTTCATACACACCAAGACCGCATCACAACAAGCTCAAGGGAAGAGATACAAGAAGGCGGAAACGAGTCAAGTGAGGATAGCAACCAAGCTACGAGTGAGGATGCTTCAAGTGTCAAGACTCAAGTGCAACAAGAGTACAAAGACCACCCTCCAGTCGAGACAAACACTATCTCCACCCACCATCGCCATACACACCAAAACAAGGTATACTTAATTTATAACATTTATGCAGGTGAAGCAACATGTCCCAACGGTTCTTAGCAAGCAATGAGTGATCACCAGTTCGAGTCCTAGCTAGAGTCAAGAAGAAGCGGCTTAGTTTTATTTTTCTTTTAGTTTAATAAATTTACCTTTTATAGTTCTTTGTTTTGTACGCTTAGTAGCTAGCTTATGTAGTTTCCTTTGTGTTTTGTTTTGTTCTTTTGCGTTTTACTTTCGGCCTTAGGGCTAGCTGATATGACCATTTATAAGGTCCCCTTGTAGCCGTGTATTCTTGGTTACCTTTGATTATCAATAAAAACGCCAAACTTCTTCAAAAAGTTCTAGAGAGCTTTTCTCATCTTTTGCTTGATTTCTTGAGTGGATTCTCTTGAGGTTGAGCCGTGTTGTATCAGTTTCTCATCACAACTCTGTGGTACACTTCGTTCCGCCAACAAAACCCTTTTACTTTGATCCCACACGAGAGAGCGACCGCCAACGTGTTAGATCCTCATCACCGACCATCAAACGAGTGCAAGAGAGAGCGACCACCAGCTTGTATTCACCACCACTATCTGACTCATATAAGCTCACCAGAGTCTTATATTAGTTATGCGATACCTCTTATGATCAGCATCAGATTTGATAGTAATTTTTAATTAGCATTGTTGGATAACGATCATGTCATAAATTTTTTATTTATATCAAACTATCTAAATAACATATTTTTAAGATGGACAATTATAATAAAACAGTAAAAATCACTATCAAATGATATTTTGTATGTAGTTTTAAACAATATAAATAATATTGAAAAAACATAAATTATCTATGATGAATAAACACAACCATAAATTTGAAAAGACATAGCTTATGAAAGTGCAAGTGGTATTTATTCAGATTATTAAACTGTTAAAAAAAATATAATGAAAATAAGCAAATTATCTGAATATCGTGAGATGTTCTCACTAGACCTGTCAATTGGTTGGGCCAACCATGGGTGAAACCCAGTCCGTAAGAATTTGGTTTGTCCATAGACAAGCCCAGTTTTGAAGTTGTCCAATTGGGCTTGGACCAATTAACCCGCGGTTATTTCTGGGCGGGTTAGAACAAAGCCGCGGGTTGACCATGGGCAAAAAAAAAGAACTTTTGCGTCTTCTTCGTTTCATTCTCTCTTCTGGCGACATCAATCTTCGGTGACGATGGTGAGTTTCTTTATGAAATTTCTTATGGGTTTCTCTTTGTTTCTCTTTATGTTTTGATTTACCTATGAAATCTGTTCAAAATCAAAGTAGAACACAACAAATCTCTTTTGATTTCGTTTAGCTTTCTGATTTGATTTCAATAGTTGGGTTTGTTTAGCTTTGTTCGATTTCAATGGTTGGTTTGTTTAGCTTTCTGATTCCGTTTAGCTTGATGGTTTTCTTCTGAATCATTTGTGTTGACTTCTTCTGAATCGTTTTGTGCAGCTTTTTGTTGCTTCTTCGTCTCTCACTCTTCTCCTTCCTTGGCGCAAGGAGTCGCCATTGAAGTGGAACTCGGAGCCCAAATCGCTATCACAAACAAACGTCTCAGTTGTGTTGATTCTATTGATGGGTTTCTTTTGAATCATTGTGTTGGGTTTCTTCTGAATCATTGTGTTGACTTCTCAGTTGGAATAGTTTTGTGCAGCTTTAAAATGAGTTTCTGATCAAATCTTCTGTTGTTTCAGGAAAATAGATGTGATCAACTTGAATGATGAGAACATTTTGAGTGATATTGAAATGGATCATGCCAATGATTTGATGGATGAAGATTTGGATCATCATGAAGCCAATCCTGTAGAGAGCTTAAAGCTAAAGAAAGGTACACAACAAAAACAAGCTCAGTATAGTCGTAGAGTTTCTAGGTGCTAGAATAAGTTTACAATAGAAACTGCCTGATGGAAAAATGACATAAGATGCAGCTACTGTAAAAACCATTACTACTTAAAGCTTCATAGAAATGGAACTACCATATCGTTGCGCCATATGAGGGTTTGTAACAAAACCCCTGGAAATACACCTAGAAGTAGTACTAGGAAGCTGGATATGGTGGTCTTCCATGAAATGAAAGCAATGGCAATTATAGAGCATGATTTACCAAAGAGACATCACTGCTGCTGCGGCAACTTCAGAAGCTAAAAAAACATTCCTGCAAGTTATAGTGTAAGTGTTTTGGTTATGTTCTTTTTATGTTCTAAGCTTCTCACTTCTCAGTGATTTTAATCAGTGTTTTGTGTTCTTTTCTCAGGGATTTTATGCCTTTTTTTTCACAGAAGGCTGGTGGTAATGGAAAATCATCTCTAGACATATATTTAGATGAGCTAATGCTTGATATGGTTGCCAACAAGAATTTGAATGTGTTAACTTATTGGAGAGATAATGCAAGACGTTTTAAAGAGTTGTCCACTATGGCTTGTGATGTTCTGAGTATTTCTATAATAACAGTGGCATCTGAATCTTCTTTTAGCATAAGTAGTAGAGTTCTAAACAAGTATATGAGGTCTCTCTTACCTACTAATGTTCAGGCTTTGATTTGTACTAGCAATTGGTTAAAGGGCTTTCCAGAAATTGGTAAGTGGTTTTGTTATATTGTGAAGTCTGATGATATGTTTATGTGATGATTGATGAATTTATTTGGTTTTTCAGATGAGCAAGAAGAGGAGAAAGACGAAGAGAAAGACAAAGAGATAGAAGAAGAGAAAGAAGAGGAGAAAGAAGAATCTTAAGGTATTTAATGACTTTCTGTTTTTCAAATGTTGTTATTTATAATTTGATTCAATGAGCAGTATTGTATATCCATCTAAAATTACGATTTGTACTTTTGTAGGATTGAATTGGAGTTTGTGGAGGATAAAACAAAACATAAAGAATGGTTATGAACATTGTTTTGTTTGAATGGTTATGAAAATTGTTTTATTTGCATGAATTTGATAATTTCTACCTTTGTAAAATAAGTGTTTTAATTGAATTTAACTTGTTTTATTTAAATTTGATAATTTCTGGCTTTGTGAAACAAATGTTTTATTTAAATAAAATTGTGTTTAATTTATACAGCAAAATAAAGTGTAAATGTGAGAAAGAGAGAGCTTGAGCTGACTATGGGCAAGCCCACTTGAACGCGGTCACAATTGGGCGCACACAATTTTGGATATGGTTAATATTGAGCTTGATCATATTTGTCCATCAGAAAGGAATGTCCATTTGGACATGGTCATGCCCATTTGACAGGTCTAGTTCTCACGATCAGTGTCTGATTTGATAGTGATTATTTATTAGCATTATTGAAAAACGATTATATGTTATTTTTTTATTTATAGAAAACTATTTAGATAATCAACTTATACGATAAACTATTATAGTAAAAAAGTAAAAATCAGGCCCAAATAATTTTCTTATATAATTTTGAGCAATATAAATAATTTTGAAAAGACATGAATTACAGTTATGATGAAAAAAATGGTACCATTTATAATGAAGAAATGCAATCATTTATAGTGAAAATATGCAACCATTTATGATAAAAAGACACAACTATAAATTTTGAAACAACACAACTTATCAAAGTGCAAGTGAATCGATATAATATCCACACATATCAGTTAACCAAATCTACTTCATGACAAAGTGTCAATGTGGCTTATCATTAATTGTTCGTGATAATTTAATACCTTTGTAGTATATATTAAAACAATGTAATATTGTAAGATTTCTTGCATCAAATAAACTCTTATTCACAAATTATTTTTTCATAATCATTATCATTTTTCAAATCATTTTGTATATATTAATAGGTTATAAATCATGATAACATAAACATAGAACTAAATAATTGAGATTAAAAGGCTAGGAAAAATGTAAACTTTAAGAACAGATTTGCTTTTGAGGACTCGATGTTGTTTACTCATTACTCAGTGACTATAAGCTCAAATTCTCAGCCTAATTCTTAGGCTCAGCCATGGATCTCTCTCTTTCACTGACTTCTTTTTCTTTGCAACTCAACCATCCTCAGTGTCTCCTCCAGTAAGCTCATTATCACCATTGTTATCTTCTTCAATTCTTTGGCTCTTTCATGGTCAATGATCTTTCTCTTCTCTCAGTTCGTTAAGCAATCAAACTACGAATTCTAGAGCGACCACTACATTGCTGATTGATAGTCTAGCATTTGTTTCTTCTCTCACACACATAAAACCCACCTCAAGATTTTTCTCCAAATTTTTTTTTCATGTAACTATCTTGTATAGATAACATTGAATCTACTTCTTTGTGTTTCTATCCATTAAATGCCTCACCTGTCCAAAAACCAATAAAAGGGAAAACATCATAAAAAATATATATGATCAAGAAAACAAAACAAAAGTATAATATTCTGCTTAAAAAACGTTAACCAATTCACAAGTACACGACATAAACTAAAAATGAACGAGTCCCAACATCTTTGCGTCCACTGATAAGCTCCAACACCATAATTCCAAAGCTATAGAATTAGATTTTGATGATGATCTCCCACTAGTAGCATACTCAGGTATGCAATAGATCTGAGTTCCCAAAACTTTAGTAAAGCCATGAGTTATATGTTCGGACTAAACTTAGGAAGCTTAAAATCAGCCAGCTTCAATTTGTAGCCGTGATCTAGCAATATGTTTGCAGTTTCCAAATCTGTGTATATCACATCATATTTTTCTCTATTAGGAGGGTGTTCTAACCTTTTAGCTGCTCAGGATGTTAGGAGATTCAAGCACAAGGATGAAGATAGCTGCATGAGCATCTAAAGGATTACAACACCTTTAAAATGAAGTAAAACTTGTTGTGATATACAAAGATTTTATAACTATAAACATATTGCTAGATCACAGCTACAAACCAAAACTGTATGACTTTGGGCTTGCTAAATTTGGTCAAGACAATAATATGATTCATGTTTTTACTCAGAACTATTGCGCACTCGAGTATACTACTTGCAGGAATTTGTCATCAAAATATGATATGTACAATTTTAGAGCTGTGATATTGGAGCTTATCAGTGGATGCAGAGAAGGTGGAGACTTATTCATGGCTTAAAATCGCTTATTTGTGAATTGAATAATTCTCTATTATGTAATTTTAAATATAATCATGTATAAAATATATAAACGAAGCAATAATAAAATTGTTTGGTTGGTGATGTGATTTTGTATCTTTTTTTACTATAATATAATATTTAGTTTTTTTTTATTTGGGCTTATGCTTATTTTTATTGGACTTTATTTCTACAGATTTCTTTATATTATATTAGAGTATGTCTATTTTCGTAATTTTGTTTTCTAATTGCTATCAAATCGTTTCTAAAACGTACTGCTATTCGAGAATATAAGGTAACCTTATCTCACTAAAATCTTATCTCCATTCACAATCTTATCTAATCGCATGACTCCCACATTTGAATTATAATCACATTTGAGACTGATTGATCTTGGGAGCTTATTTTACAAACGGCGACCCTAATTTTTCTTATCCATTTCTTCCTATCATAAAACTTCTGAATCTACTGGATAATCTTATCTTATGATTTTGATTATGGGCACAAGTAAGTTTCTCCATTTCCTTACATTGTGTATACTTTTCATTATGTTTTGAGTATATTAGCTTTGTTTGGAATCTTATAGAAACCTTAAGATTATGTATAATATTGCAGATTGCTTTCATAATTGTTGATTTTTTATTCGAAAAAGATGGATTATATCTCAAGAGATATGGCTGAAGCTAGATTGCAATTTTTATTAATGAAATCTTGTGAAATTGAAGATTGCATAAAATTCTATTAAATTGCTACCAGTTATAATGAAAACAAAATATATCATTTCATTTATCCTTTATATTCAACATAGAACAAGTTTTTTGTTTTTGAAAAAATATTCCACTCCAAGAATTTTAAGAAATTAATAACATTCAATTTTTAATCTATTCTGTTTTTTCTATCCTATATAAATCTAGAGGAGATGCTCTAAAATGATCCACTTTGGTAAAATATTGTTAAACATAGACACCTTCTATCCATTTAGATTAAGTTATATTTATTAATTAAGTTTTCTTATTAAAATAGTTATTTACTATTTAACCGTGGCTAGTAGTAGTTTAGCCCTTGCAATGTTGCTGCTGAAAAGCAGAGACTACGGATACTAATGCACGAAGAAGAAGTATGGCAGGTGAGAGGCACACCTAGGTCATTTTAGATGATTTTAAAATGCAGATCACTTTATAAGTGGGAGTTATTGGGTTTATATAAAGAAACAGATTTTGACAATATTTATTGTATAATTGGGGATTATTGGTTTATGTAAAGAAAACAACGTTGAGACATTAGACATGCGTCTGGCGGACTGATGGCAAACATATATTTCTCCCGCAGGCGAGAAGCAGAGGCTGCACAGACTCACTTCACCTTTGACAACTATTATGATATCCTGTGACGATTTGGTCAGTTGAACTCATTCACAAGGTGTCATAGCTTCTTTCTCTCGGGTAAATGCTGCACAAATATTATATTGTCACCAGATAAACTCAGGTTGTGGGGACAAGAAGACGAGAGCATCCAATGTTTGACGAGACACAGGCGTTAGACAGGCGTATGGCGGACTCATGGCGAACATATATTCTTCTCGCAGGCGAGAAGCAAAGGCTGCACAGACTCACTTCACCTTGACTACAATTATGATATCCTATGACGATTTGACAAGTTGAACTCATTCACGATGTGCTGTAGTTTCTCTCTCTCTCGGGTAGATACCGAAAAAATGTTATATTGTCACCAGATAAACTTGGGTTGTGAGGAAAAGAAAACGAGGGCATCCCATGTTTGACGAGATGCGGACGTTCGATAGGCGTCTGGCGGATTGATGGCAAAAATATATTTATCCCGCAGGCGAGACGCATAATTTGCGTAGACTAACTTCACATTTGACTACTATTATGATATACTGTGACGATTTGGCCAGTTGAACTCATTCACGAGGTCCCGTAGTTTCTCTCTCTCAAGTAAATGCCGCAAAAATGTTATATTGTCACCCGATAAACTCGGGTTGTGGGGACAAAAAGACGAGGCATCCTATGTTTGAGGAGACACATATGTTAGACAGGCGTCTGGTGGACTGATGGCGAACGTATGTTCCTCCTGCATATGAGAAGCAGAGGCTGCACAGACTCACTTCATCTTTGACTACTATTATGATATCCTGTGACAATTTGCCATTTGAACTCATTCACGAGGTGCCATAGTTCCTCTCTCTCAGGTAAATGTCGCAAAAATATTATATTGTCACTAGATAAACTCGGGTTATGAGGACAAGAAGACGAGGGCATCCCATATTTGATGAGGCGCAAACGTTAGACAGGATTCTGGTAGACTGATAGCAAACATATATTCCTCCCGCAGGTGAGAAGCAGAGGCTGCGTAGACTCACTTCACCTTTGACTACTATTATGATATCTTGTGATAATTTGGTCGGTTGAACTCATTAACGAGGTGCCGTAGTTTCTCTCTCTCGGGTAAATGCCACAAAATATTATATTGTTACCAGATAAACTCGGGTTGTGGGGACAAGAAGACGAGGGCATCCCATGTTTGATGAGACGCAGACGTTAGACAGGTATCTGGCGGACTGATGGCGAACATATATTCCTCCTGCATATGAGAAGTAGAGGCTGCGCAGACTCACTTCACTTTTGACTACTATTATGATATCCTGTGACAATTTTGGCTAGTGGAACTCATTCAAGACATGTCGTAGTTTTCTTCTCTTGACGTCTCGTAGACGCAGGCGAGAAGCAGAGGCTGCAGAGACCCACTACACCCTTGACTACTATTGTGATATCCTATAACAATTTGGACAAAGACATTAAACACGACATTATTTTAGTTTCTGCACGTGGAGAAAAAGTCGCAAAAGTATGATATAGTCACCACCAGATAAATTTATAAAAAAGACTGCACCATTTTTTTATGGGCCTGACGTTGAGAAACGCACAGATGACGAGACACAGACGTTAGACAGACATATAGCAAATTGATGGCTTACATATATTCTTCTTGCTAGTGAGACGCAGAGGCTGCACAGACTCACCTCACCTTTGACTACTATTATGATATCCTGTGACGATTTGGCCAGTTGAACTCATTCACGAGGTGTCATAGTTTCTCTCTCTCGGGTAAATGCCACAATTTTTTTTTTATCACTAAATAAACTCAGGTTGTGGGACAAGAAGATGAGGTCAGCATGTTTGACAAGACGCAGACGTTATATAGACATCTCGCGGACGTAGGCGAGAAACAGAGGCTGCACAGACTTACTTCACATTTGACTACTATTTTATCCTGTGACAAT